CTCTATTTTCTGTTTAACTCTAACCATAATTTTTATGCGTTCTAGAACATTTCTGAACGGAGTGTAATTTTTTGCTCGTAGCCCTGCCCATTTTGGTGTAAGCCCTCCCTTTTCAGGATTTCTGCATGTTTTATATTATCTTTCACTCTATGTTTTGGAACATTTTTAACTTAGTTATATATATATATATATATGTATGCTTTCAAAGAGAGTTTCATTTGGCGCATTCATATTAGGTGTCATGGGTGGACGGCGACGTTGTAGTGGTGCCGGTGACGGCACCGAGGGTGCCACTTCGAAAACGCCCCGCCCACCGCCACCTGGTCTCATATGTGCTTTGTTGGTCTTGCTCCAAACCCAAAATTGATCCGATCTCTCGAGTTGCATTTTCAGATAATATCGAATTCCGTGACAAATAGACGCGAGCGCATTATATATAGTACGCTTCCGCTATTTAAATGGAAACGAACGCCGCCCCACTCATCTTCCATCATCAATGACATCATGGCTATGGTTTTATTTCAACGATAATTTGTGGCACATCAGTAGTCAAGTGCGACAAGCATAGTTTAGCAATGCAGGCGTAGTTAGGAGTCAGAAGTTTCGATAGGTAGAATGCTCCTACCTAACATCAATTCAATTGCCCATCTTATTGTACATAGGACATGGAAAGCAGGAAAGACATACACGGACATTTTGCGCAAAGCTGAAGGGATATGAAGGTTTCCGGCGTATAATACATAATACAGTACTCACCGTAAGAGCTCGAAACTTAAATCGGTGTAGAATGGAGTAATCCAGGAGCTAAGGACACGGTAGAAACTAGCTTGTCGAGCTCTATAAGCTGATACCGTAGAGTATAAAAAAACTTCGTTTTGGATTGCACCATGATCTTGTATTTCATCCGATAAGTATTTGCATGTACATGGCATGCACGCTTCAGTGCCTCTAGGGTGTATGGGCTCATTGGTCCCTGAAAATGAAGTGTTTGGAATTCACTATGAAGTGCNCAGGAGCTAAGGACACGGTAGAAATTAGCTTGTCGAGCTCTATAAGCTGATACCGTAGAGTATAAAAAGACTTCGTTTTGGATTGCACCATGATCTTGAATTTCATCCGATAATATTTGCATGTACATGGCATGCACGCTTCAGTGCCTCTAGGGTGTATGGGCTCATTGGTCCCTGAAAATGAAGTGTTTGGAATTCACTATGAAGTGCGCCACTTACTCGGCTTACTCAGTATAGTGAGAAAGTGATCGATCGGTTTTGTTCAGTCTCCATTGTTTATTTCTAGTGTGGAGGCTACTAATGACCGCATGTTCTGTTTCTGCACAAAAGGCTCCTCCTTACGGTCCATTGAGAATATGGCATCAATATACGACAAATTTATTGAGTCGATTTTTTTGACATTTGCCAATTCTGGGGGAATTTTCCTCCGAAACCTGAGGAGAAGTCGTCAAGACACTTTACTGTCGTAAACATTTCATTGTTCCCTGCGAGACTATTATGGTATTGTACATGTTATCATTGACCAAGATTTCACTCTTGGTATGGCCCCAAACTTCGCTATTCGTCACGCCCAAATCACAAAACTAGTCGCACGGTAAGGTTCTCGTGACACCCTTCACCGTGGTCTGCGAGGTATACTCGATGCGGCTGCTCGGGCTTTATTCGGCGGTCACTCCACCTTATTGAAGCAAGAGCAAGAACAAGAACTATTAACAGATCGCCGGCCTTTTACAGGCTCTAAGAGGGGCGGGACCCTTCGGGTGCTCTGTCCTTTCCTTCTGTTTTTTTCCCTTTCCGTTAGCCTTTCCGCAACTGGATTGTACACTGTCAGATTCTCTGTGAAAAATGTTATTTAATGATTTGCTAGCCAACCCGTGATGTGAACCTCCCTTCATAATCGTTTTGTGCAATATGCCTGTCGCCGAGCGGTTTCCTGCTGGGCGTGTTTAGACGCGAATGTGGCCGTGTACTGTAGTGGCGCGGGGTTTGAATGGTTGCTTTGGGGGACCTTAATCCGCGGATGGGAATTTCATCACGGGTTGACCCGTATATTATTAACTAGCATTTTTCACAGGAAATCTCACAGTGTACAATTTAGTTGCCGAAGGGTCAACGCAAAGGGGAAAAACATAGCTTGGAATGTATAATTGTTTTGTAAATGTATTGTTTTGTAGTAAATTGTGTTGTTCTAATCGTTCTGTTCTCAGGTCCACTTATCTAATAGTGGGGGACGCCGTTGTCAATGTCGTTGGACCGCATCGAGTACGCCTCGCATACCACGGTGAAGGGTGACACGAGAACCCTATCGTGCGACTTGGGGGCCGAACCAAGCGAGACGAAACCGATCACTACCGCCAAGCACGCCGTTAAGAGCTGCTAAGGCGCGGATCCTGTCATAGATAGACAGAGTATACCCGAACATAGGGCGAAGGCAGTGCATTACGTGACACCCCGTGACGTCACTTCTGATGTTACTGTTGAGGTGCACGAGCTGCCTGTGGAAGTGTTGCGAATCGATAAGTGGTACGAAGTCATCGTGTGAAAGGGTTAAGCGAGAGCACACAACATAGCTAATAGCTCGGGCTGATCACAGAGTAACATGACTTTAAGTATGGAGCTGTGCCCGAGGCTAGAAGCTCGAGAAATTGCTGTTGGACGAGAAAACCACAGGTGAAAAGCTGGCTTCCATGAAAGCGAAGCTGAAGCGTCTGTCAAAAAAGGTGGATGGCCTCGCAGCAAGTGAAGTGCAACAGGTGAATACTCCAACTGGAGTCGTTGCAAAATGTCTGGCAAACTTGCAAAAGATTCTCACACAAATGTCGCACGGAGTTTTTATTGAAATCGCTAAACAGCGAGAAGAGCTAGTGAGCTCGAAAATAAATGAGGAGAGCAACTTCACTGAAATGGAGCTGGAAGGAATGAATAAGTTGGAGCTTAGTATCTGCGCTTGTAAAAACGTAGTGTGTGAAACAATTACGCTAGTGTTAAGCGCGCAAGCATTACAAGACGACATAGAGGAATGGAATCGAAAGCAAAGCAGCACGAAAAGATATTCACAACTAAGACGGAAATAAAGGCAACTTCCGAAGTAGTACTGGAACCGAACAGCCATGATAAAACTTTCCATTCTAGGCAAAGTTGGCAGTTCAGAGGAGGGAACTAGTAGAAAGATTGTGAGCAGCTGAACGCATGAGAGTTCGAGGTAGATTTCGGAGATCCACAAGGGAAAGCTTCGATGAGTTCATCACGAAGTTGAGGTACCAAAATCCTGGGCTGTGGAATAACCTTCTCAATCATTTACTCACATCAAAGCTGGAAGGCTACCCTAAAGCGTTAGCGCAAGCAATACCGAAAAATCTCAGAGAAGGGAACTTCGGTTACTTAGTGGGAACACTACGGTTAAAATTCAACTACAATGATTTCGCGATGCAAATGAAGGCATATAGGGATCTCAAACGCGGTTCTACCGGAAGTTGCAGAAATGTGTGCCTACTACCCACTCAGTCGTCGTCAGGAGAGTTTATAAAGTCTGGAGCAACAAAATCTGTTCTCGTTCGGTTTGAGAACTTCACCCAGGAAGGAATCTCTTGAGCAACAGACCACTTACCCTCTGACGTGGTGTGGAATCCAAGCACTGAGCCTACCTTTTACAAACACCTTTACAGGAGCAAAGATCTTCCAAGTAGGTGAGGAGGTAGGGACCTTTGAGCATGCGGAAATCGTAGAAGTGGAGCCTATCACTTACCACGGTGACATGCTAGAATATACCGCTGAAATACTCTCAGATAGGGGAGAGAGGTTGCTACGGTTTTTACGTGGCATCAGGAGAACAGTAGAGTACAGCAAAGATAGGCAGCCTGGTTAAGACTCAGGTGTTCCCAGTGAACGAACAAGAGCTCACCCCTTATACACTGGTAGATCATACCGGGGATTCGCTGCCAATTCGACAAAAGGCTCATCCTATGCCGCTGGCCGTTCGCATGCAACTTGGGCAAATTCCGCACGACTTACGTGAGAGAAAGTCGTTGAGCCAAGTAAGTCTAGCTGGGAATCTCCTATCATATTGGTCCCAGAAAAGATGGCACCCTTGCGTGGATCACCGCAAGGTCAATCAGGTAGCGAAAATTGACAACTATCCGTTACCTGCAATCGACCCTATAATGCAAAGCTTGTTGGGCAAAAGATACATTCCGTGTTGGACTTGTTTTCAGTTTATCGGCAAATAAGTCTATTTGGGGGTGCGAAGGATAAGTCGACGTTCAGTACGAAAGAAGGGTAATACCAGTTTCGGGTGCTGCCTTTTGGTTTGATATCCCAACCCGCGGTATTCCAACGGCTGATGCATGCGTCCTAGCTCCTTTGTTAGGCAGCCAAACAGTGGAGCAGCATCTCCAAGTGTTGGAACAGGGCTTTCAAGTACTGTGGTAAGTTGAATCCAAAGAAATGCGTGCTGCTGGAGATAGTAATTGAATTTAAGCACGGCTTAAGTTGAATCCAAAGAAATGCGTGCTGCTGGAGATAAAAATTGAATTTCTCGGTCACATCGTTGACCATGACGGGTTACACATGGACCCAGCCAAAGTGGAAGGGATTAGGATATACCCGCTACCGCAGACGCACGCGAAGCTTCGTGCTTTTCTCGGTATGTGTTCGCTGTTTCATTTGAATTCTGCCCTTAAATCGTGCTTTGGCCATTTGAAGTTAATCGCTGTGCACGCACAGTTACTGGCACAGCCGGATATCGAGGCCGCAATTAGCGTAAGGAACTGTTCAAGCACCATACCAATGCATGCATCCAAGGTACAGGCGCTGTTATAAGTCAAGAGAAAGAAGAAGGATTCCTGCATCCGATGTTCTTCGCTACAAGCTTCTTTTCTCATCAAGCTTCGCTAGATGAGAAAAGAATTATCACGTAACCGATTCAGGAGTACTAGAGGTCATTTCCTCTCTGAGGAAGTTCCACACGTTTGTGTACGGACTCCAGTCGAAATGCACACCGACCACCGACCCTTGACGGCACTTTTCAAACGCAGTAATGTGCCAGCCAGAGTACCCAGATGGGCCCTTAAGGTACAGAAGTATAACCTGGAAATCATCTACTTGAAAGGAGCTGCAAATCGCGTAGAGGATGTCTTAAGTCGTGCAGTTATTCCTTCAGACGAGCAGGAGAAGTTGGGGTATACCTCCATTGAACTCATCGTAGCTGCGGCTCTGGAGGAGCTGGAGTGGACGACGGAACTTCGACACGACCCTATTTATGCTGAGATTATAGCGAGCTTGGATAGTAGAAATCTGGACAGGGATATCGCAATGCCTAAACGCAATCCTGAAACTCATCCAAAAGCCCAAAGTGGGAGACTTTGTCATGGATCGAGGCTATTTTGCGTCACTAGACAGCTATTCTGTGCGAAGGGTGGTTCCAGCCTCTAAGAGAAAGGCAGTTTTCGAGGAAGCACACTTGGGCTGAACACTTTGGTTCTAGGTAGATGGTCAGGCAGTTGTCAGAAGACTGTTCTGGGAAACCATGAAATGGGATATCACTCAATGGTCGCAAGAGTGTCAAAAATGCCTGTGTGACATGCATCGCCACCCCATGACTCCAGGGTTGAAACCCATCGTTACATCGAAGCCTTTTGAATTGGCAGGCGTCGATATCTTAGAAATGGGGTCAACGTACAACGGGAACCGTTATATACTTAGCATGATTTATCACGTTCCAAAGTTTGTTAAAGCATACGCCATCTCATCAAAGACAGCTACGGAAAAGGCTAGAGTGTTCTTTGAAAGGTGGGTCGCTGTGAGAGGACGTTAACCAGAATGCATTCTATTAGATCAAGGAGGGGAGTTCGACAATCGATTGGTGCAAGAGCTCAGATCACTTCTAGGCATCGACCATGTCTACGCAAAGGGTTATAATTCAAGACTGAGATGGTTCGACTATGAGATTTAATCAAACAATCACCTAAATATTGAGAAAGAAAGTAGCTGTACCTGCTGAGTAGGATAAGACACTCTCATTTTGCGTTTCGCTTATAATACGACGGTCCACGAGTCTACTGGAGAGTCACCGTGCTACTTGTTACACGGATTCGATCCTTATATCCTGTAAAACACCGCTCTAAGCGAAGAACCTAGCAAATATGTAGTAGATACTGAAAACTACACGCATGAGGTATTCGCGGCCACCAACATTGCGCGCGAGTACGCGCGAGATGAGGGCAATGGGATGCGTCGGAAGATGAAGCTCGCATATAGTGGAACAACCGTTTATGTACCAGACTACCGAGGATCGATGGTAGGGTGTAAATGGAAGTTGGGCGCGAGAAGCAGTTATCTCAAAATCTTGAGCTGGTCAACCCCTGGGAACTGCCATACCGTGTGTAGACACGAGCGAGAGTAGCGCCCTTATGACGTGGATTGAAGGGGGCAGGGACCCTGACCGAATACCTCTTGACATGCTGGTGAGGTTGCCAGCAGGTCTCGAATTTGCCCATTAGAACAGCTATGATCCGCCGAAACAGGGGAAGACCCCGAAAAGAAACTCACTTGCTGACATTTCTGGAAAAGTGACCTGTACCAGGAAGCTGATCACGAAGGGTCACTCGGTGAATCTGAGACGTACGTGCGACTGCGGGCTTTCAAACAAATGGCTCATGTGGCATTGCCGACTCTAAGGCACTCAATAGGGTGGCAGACATGTTTCAGCTCAACAATGTGGCTTCCATCTCGGGGCAGGAATGTTGGGGAAATGAGTCTAAAGAAGTGGAGCAACGCATGAAGAACTCTCAGTTCATGTCACCGCACGGGCTAGTCCTAGCCATGGAGACACATCGACACCGTTGTCACAACCCATCGACGCTGCTCAGGGCAGGACATTCGACCATCCAGCGTTTTTTCCGTGACCCATTGAATATGATGTGGGAGGTCACATTACGACGGCGTTAGCCATGTTGAAGTGTGTAAAGCTTCCAGGAAGGTCCGTGGCCGTCAGTCAGTCAGTATTTCCGGCGTTACCAACCGGATTCGCGAGAGTGCTTATGGAAGTCGATTACGGTGACGCACTGACCGTGTAAGTCTATAAAAAATGGAAGTTCCTCGCTCAAAAGCTACTGGAAGTAAATATGTTTACTGTCATAATCGTAGTGCGGCCCGACACGATGCTATCGTGAAGAGTTCAAGAAAACAGAAACTTAATGATACAATTATGCCGAGTTTCATAGAAAGCCGTACATGGAACTTAATTCTTGTACTTATACTTATACTTATACGGCTCGTCTTCACTCATGTGCGA